GAATAACAGTTTACTTGGTTTATTCGTTCTTAACTTAGAATCCAACAAAATAACTGTCCAAGGCCGGATGAACATTTTCCAAGTTTGTAAAAGTCATACTGATCTGTAACTTTGTATCTAACATTATGAACAGGTTTAAGAAATATATAAGAATTTCAATGAATAAATTTACAGAGGGTTGACGAATCGAATGTACCGTTTTTTTTGTGCATTGGAATTGATAATTATACATTTCTTATGCAATAACAATCAATGATTATATTACGATCATATTCAAATTATCGAAACGGGGCTAAATCATAGGTTTTTTAAGCGTATAATTATTTTGGGCCCTTATTTCGTAATAATTTTCAAATATCGGGCTTCTATCTGTAATTATTTTCATTTTGGGCCCTTATTTGTAATTATTTTTCATTTTTAGGCCCTTATCTATAAATTCCCCATAATTTTATTATTGGGACAGAGGCAATAGTTTAAATTATTTTTTAAACTTTCGTTTATACCTAATAATAAAATTATTGGGCAGATAAATCATAATAAGCTGCTGAATAGTCACCTATACTAAAAGAGATCCAAATTACTTATTTTACGTATTTTATATATTTCATCAACAATCATTTCATTGACAGCTCATTTAGCCGTGTGACAATTTACCAAGAATATATGCTGTACCTGTAACTAATCAAAATGCTAATCCTAACCCTGAGGTCGATGAAATAATCGAAACCGTATATTGCATATCGCTGATTACCACATAGATAGTAAGATGTATAATTTTTTGGCGGTACATAAATTATGATAGATCAATGCAAAAAAAAAAGACCGAAGTGTTAACAAATTAAAAGCTGTGTTAAATAAAATCTAGTATATATGATTCTTACTGTAATTATTACACAAAAAAAAAAACACTGAATTTGGTAATTTTGCATCTTGGCTGAAGCATATTCACTCACACTATACGTACAAGAATGTAGATCATTGAATTTTAATGATACATAATCGTTAAGGTCATGACATCTATCGGAACCGAATTTTGTGTACATGAACATCAAACCCATTCACTAACGTTTATCAATTCCTACTTGAAGATTTTTTGACACTAAGCCCAATTGTTAATCCCACGTACTTAACATGTTATAATTATACAGAATTGAAAATATATACCCGATTTGGATATTTTTAATATTGAATGTGAGGTTTAAGCGCTGTTACTTATATTTTGTTCCGCCACACATATTTCCCAATAAAGATATTGCTGACAGAAATCACTTACCATATACATCGACTTATTCACATAAAGCACCGTTCCTGGTATAACTTATCTGTGTCTATGAAACAATTTTCGATTAAATGATACGGATCCGGTTAGAGAATCCGTTTATCAAAAATCTAAAATTGAATCTATTTGCACATTTGCGAATCAGATAATGGTAAATTTTAGAAAAATATGCATTGACCATCTATGAGCAAAGTAACAACTTGGCTTGGCCCGAGATTGGTCAGTTTATAACTAGCCTGATCTACAGAGCCGAAGGATCGACACGACTTGGTTAATCTCAATCGTGAGTCAAGCCAACCGTTTGCATACTAGGTAAAACCCGTCTGTAACCTACATATGCAGTGAATTTTACCAAATTTAACGCTGCCTTGTTACGTATAACTTGTAACTGTATTAAAAGTGATTGCCTGAAATTAAACTATATTTAAATTTGGGTTTAACCGGGTTAAAGTCATTGAACTATTACCGTACCGTTCCGAATTAAGCATCCTGGCCCGCATTATAATCATTATAATTATCTTGGCCAGCATTACATGCCAAGAAGAGGTCTTAATTGCGAAATGGTACTGTAATAATAAAGTAATACTAATAATTTTAGTCATGTGGCTGCGGTTTGAGTGAATTTGACCTGACTATGACCGAAACAAACAAATAAATAAATCAGAAACATAGAGTATAGATGAGTATATATGTGACCGAATTTATTGCAGTCGAAACTATTACGGCTTATGTCATAACTGAGTTTGAATAAGCCAAAATAATTTCGGTCATATGACATAAAATAATATTTATTTTATAGCATATAAGCCATATTTAACCTTCTTGATTTCCACATGGTGGCACTCAAATCCACCTTCGAAATTCTACAGATTAAGTGATAAAGTTAACTTCAATTAGTCTAAGACTGTACCAAACAAAGACATCATATTCTGCATATTTCGATGCGCATTTACTACAATAATAGAATTATTTTGATCGGTTAAACATAATAGAACGTGACCGCTTGAGAGATGCGAGTTTATAGTTTGGGCGTTGATACGAATTTTAAAAGTTGGACAAAAAAAAAAAGAACAGAACTCTGGGATAAAAAAAAAGGAATAACGTTAATCCGTTTGGGAACATTACATAGAAACCCAACTGTGTAAATACGTACTAGGTAATGTGAGCTAGGATAGAATATGGTCATTCACATTTGGCGTATAACTAGCATTACACATCCCTTGTGTCAATCCTTAATTAGGAAATATATTATTTTATATATCGATACTAAGAATTTGTACGCGATTATGTACGTATGTGCGTACAGACTTCACGAATTAAATTAACTGAAAATGATGACGAATAATGATTTCTGTTCATTAACAAGATCTTGTGTGAAAATTATATTTCAATTTTGTACGGAGTTTAACGGAAAAACAAAAAATCGAACTTATGATTAATGGATTTTTTTCCAATTTCGGATATATTACTTTCCTCATGTAAAGGTGGCAAAATCTGCGGGAAAGAGAGACACAGATTTGTGTTAAGTATATACGTATAGTATATACGTATAAGGATACGACTGTGCATGGTAAGTAAACATTAACGAGACAGATTTTCTCTAGAGAAACTCATGGGTTTCAAACAAATTAAAATGAAACAATTGATTTTGGCATTCATTAACTGTATACGTAATTTGTCGTTATTATAAATTGTAACTGTTTGACCAATAGTGATGATAATCATTGAAATAAATATGCACATGTTACAAGACTGTATGTAATCATACACAAATCTATTATAATTCGTCAAGTTTCGAGGTTTTTCTCGAGTTTCTAGCATACTCTGAATAATATTTAATAGCAATCGTTTACTTTGTATATATTTAATTATGAAAATCTCGTAATAAAATTTGAGATTTCCGCGTTACACTACTGCCTACCCGAAATCTCGGTCAATAACGAGAATTACAGAAATGGTGAAAGTTTTTGTTGTAAATTTAGAACTTGATAAATAAGTGAAATCAAAATATTTGTACATATAGATTTAACATTAATGGCTATCCAATTTTATATACTGATACTATGTATAATAATTTATAAATGAGCAGACTTTGTATTTTCAAGTTCATATTTTTATATATTATTTTTTTCGTATATGCTATTTATTACTTTAAGATAAATATTTACAGCATGTGTTGTTTATATATATTAATTATATAGTAATTATATGTTAATTATCATTTTGATCTAAACTTTGCAACATAGTTGTAAATTCTCAATTTAAAAAATGGAACTGTATATAGTTAAGTTTTAGAGATGTTCGCAAATCCGGCGTAATATATATACATATATAATTATATAAATAATTTTAAAATAAGAAATTATCATAAAAGAAAGCTATGTGCAATACATTCGAATTTTCGACTATTCTATAATAATGAAGAATGAATTTCATATGTTTGATTACAAATTTATGAATATCGTCGGTTTAGTTCAGAAGTGTGGCTAATAGGCAATTTCATTTACTGGGGGTCACTCCAAAATAGAATTACAAAGCAGAAAAAACAGATCACTGTTTCCAAAATAAGCAACCTGCAACGCACTGTAATAGCAATGTCATTCCAGATAATTTAGTATAAGTTTAATGAGTATATGCTAGTTATGATAGTGAAGTGTGAAATTACGAGAGAATGCATTATCCAAAGTTACACGTGTAATATACATGAAATAATTAGTTGCAAGAATGCAATGAATAAATGGTGAATAATGCAAAATCAAGAATAATGGTTAAATTTTAAGACATAAATAATGATTATATGCTAAGACAGGAATAATGTCTAAATGCTATAACAAGAATAATGTTTAATACGTAATGATTTATAATTATCATAATTAACGGGAAAAATCAATTCAAAATTAGAATTCAAATCAAGAAATTTAAACAATAAATTGGATTTAATACTTTATACTTTGAAAAATTTTACTAAAAAATACGTGAATCATGGATTGTTCATAATTTCATAATTTCATAATTACTTAATAAATATTATTACAATTTTATAGCGTGAATTTAGGTAGAATTTAGATAGTGTTGGAATTTAGGTAGCGTCTGAAGCAAGGGTTAAAGTGTGAGAATTAAAATCTATTACAAAGAACTTAATATTAATAGTTCTTCATCATCCGACAATTAATGAATAAGGAGATGATGATAAACTAAAAACAACTTAGCGTTAGTAATTCTTTTGTTTATTGACAGTATAATAGTGGATCATCCTGATTATATAAAGTCCGTTACTGTTACTACTTTGATATCATTTTTGGATAAATACACTACATATAAAGCAATTTGTCAAAAAAGGTAAAGAATATAAATAATTACTCAAAGTGTATAAATATGGTGAACAGTTGTATTACCTGCAGACTGTTTACATCTTCTAGTATATACCGTAAATTAATTTATGCTAGAAATAGCTGTATTTGATAAAACAAGGAAATGCAACCAATTTTAATTCAAATATTTTTGACTCTTAAAAAACTATAAATGAATCTTTCTGCAATCCGTCGATAAATATTTATATATTTTCATTCTCTTGCGTCTTTTCGTCCTTCTATTCAACCTCAATCATATTAGCTTTCCTTATTTATATAAATTTCTTTAATTCTATTCAAAATTTGTATACAATATTTTATTATTATGTTATGACATTTAATCGATTGATGGTGAAAAGCGCATAGAGATAATGGGTGTTCCGTCTAGGAAAGCGCGGTGTTGCATCCCTTCTCAATCTTCAATCATTACTTCTTTCTCATTTTATACTTCCCCAACTGTGTTAGCAGAGGTACCTGTTAGTACTAGTGTACCTGTTAGGGTACCTACTAGTGTACCTACTAGTCTACTTGTTAGTTCAAGTAATCCCACCTCTCCTACGGATCTTTCCATAACCTCAAGTCCCTTTCCATCTAGTATAAGCACATTGGGTTAGTAAACTACATGTAATAACTACTAATTTAATTTACAAATATCTTTATTTCGAACTATTCATAATTAATCTTTTATATCATTTATTGTTATTATATTTGTAAATTACAAAGCTCCCGATATACCTAAAACAATTTCTACTTCTCCAACTGGAATCGTTTCATCTACAAATAATACTACAATAGCAAACGGATATTTACCAATAATAATCTCAATATCGATATTTAGTACTCTTTTAATTGGTGCTCTGATGTTCGCTTACATTCGATCCAGGCATAAACGACAACGCCAAAATGCGCTTGCTACTGCTATAATAGCTGCTGAAGCCGGACTTGATGATAATGGAATTCGAGTTGGTGATATACAAAATATAACAGCCTCTCCATCTCCATCACCACCTCCTCCTCCTCCAACACCACCATCTACTCCAACTCCTACGGAACCTTCTGCCGTAGCAATTAGTCAACCAAGATCTCCTCCAAGATATAAAATTTCAACCCTTCAAATAGAACCAATGACACGACGTTTAACAATGAATCTTCATCAAAAAGGTAAGAGTATCGTAGTAAACGATGATAATGATGTGGATACAGATCACGTGGTCAACGTTGTTTCTATAAGTGAAGGTGTAGATCTCGAAAGTAGTGATGATGATGACGATGATGCTGGTGGTAGTAGTGGTTCTCGAAAACAGACAAAACGAAAATTTAAATTTTGGTAATTTATTTAGTATTTCCTCATAAATCGAACAATAACTTTTTCTTTAAAAAAAAAATTGTAAATAGTTTTTTTGGAGTAAAAATTAGCAATCAATCAAATATTTAAAAAATCATTGATAAATCCGGATATTTCATGCAGGAAAAGCATCAATCATCACATTACGATTTGCCGAGAAATTTATTACTGCAATGCAATATTATATCTTGCGCCACACAAATAAACACTATAAAAAAAAAAATTTTATTCACATAGTTGTACATAAATTCTTTTTTCTTGTACTTTTAAATAAAGCTATCCGTAATTCTGCAAATACCAAAATTCATTAAAGACCTTTGTAAATCCTATTACTGTGCATTTTGTCCTGTTACAATGTTACCAATGTGCGAACTTGCAAACAAATCTTTAAGTAACGTTACAAAAAGTGTCTATGCATTTGACGCGTGAAATGTTGTTCAAAATGAATAAAATTTCATGGACATGCTTTCTAAACCTTGTTTAAAGAACAATGAACAAAGTCTCATTTTTCCTTGTTTAGATTTCGATCTTATTTCCGATTCGTTTCCTTTTTCAAAAAAAATTACTTCTTTCAAATAATCTTAATAATACTTGCATCACATGCAACTCGTACAAAAATGCTTATGCATTAAATCGTCTGTCAATCAATATTACCTGTCTTTCAGCAGTCCAATAGATTATAAGTTTCTAATTTTAGAGTTGATCTAATTAAATTATTATCATCAAATTATCAAATTATCATTATATCATTATATCATTATAATATCGTCATAGTTTTTTTTATATCATTAATAATATCGTCATGGTTTTTTTAAATTGTTATGAGTCATAATCTTCTTTTCTTTTGTAAAATATATTCTACTGTATTAATTAGATTAAACAGTTTTGTCCTGAAAACAATTTTCAATATACACACTAAATTTAGAATCTATTCTAAATATAAATACATATATCTGATATATATATACTGTATATAGATTTTAACATCAGCGTTAACAGGTTAACAGTCAAAGGAGTCCAAACTAATTTGACGAGCATACAAACATAGCATGAACGATTAAGATAAAGCGAATCACCTTTAAATACACGCCTAAGTTCTGGTGACAGATATGAATTTATCTTTCATACTGTGAAAATTTAGTAAGGTGATAAGTTCAAAGTTAAAGTTCTAATTTATGTCACTGATTTACGGGGGATCCACCGCATTAAAAATATTTCAGTTTGTGTATCTAATAATCTAAGCTTATAAAAATATTTGCTTGTTTATAATGTATACAAGTAAATAAAGTATTTTTATAGTTTAAAGAACTGCAGTATAGGTGGGCAGGCCCGATAATGGCACGTGTGCAGATAAAAAATTAACGTTAACTGGCAATTTGGATGATATCATTTTTAAAATCACATGATTAACAAATTCTAACGTTAACATTTAGTGATGTGATATATATTAAAGGATCAATTTTTTAACATTTCTTAATTCTAATTTATTATATCTATTCACTTTCGTATGGCTCATTAGTTCCTTCCAAAGATACTAGTGAATTTATATACAATTTAACTAATATCTTTGAGACTAATAGCTGACTCATCTCTGGAGTTGTATTCTTGATTTTGTATTTGATCTGAAGCTTTCTTTCGTTTATTTTGACATTTTTGACAATTTATTAATCAATTCCTTTACTATTAACAGTTTGTAATTTTGTTTAATGTGATATTGGCCACAACCGAATTTTTTTCTAACATCTTTTGATTATTTGTTATTGTAATAAATTACTTTATATTTGTTATTTATATATCGAGATAGTTATAACGATAAGTCCGATGCAATTATTACAGAAGGTTATTATTTTAGAACATATTTTTTTATAAGATCAATTTTCATAATAGCACGCGCAGGGCACCCATTATTTCGGTAAACGTAATTGTTGAACAAATTAGTCGAACAAATTAGTTGAAATAAATTAGTTTATATGGTATAATATCTAAATGGACGAAAAATTTCTAACGAACAATATGTAATTAAACAGTATGAATTATAATTACATTATGAGAAGATTAATCCTTAGTTCGATAAAATTTTATATTAATAGTTTGTGATACATTTCATTTTAATCATATGAATAAATCTGACGATAGTTAAAAAATTCTATCAGAAAATATGAACAGAAATTCAAAGTTTTATTAAAGTATAAAGCATAATTTTTGAGAAAACAAGATTAATATATATATATATAGTTTTTGTTTCTAATCTAAACTACATACCAATACATTTTATAATACTATGTAAAAAAGAAAAAAAAAAATATCTAGGTTTTAAAAAATGAATAATCAAATAGCAATACCAATAGGATTCAATCCACCAAGACCGGTAAGTGGGGGTGCACCAAATCCACCAAATCCACCAAATCCACCGGCCAACGGAAGTAAACCAATGCCACCGAAACCGTTAATACTGTCAAAGTTATTAGCCAAAGAAAATGAATTTAATGGACTAGCAAAAGAGTTGGCCAAAGGAAAAGTACGTTTCTTAGCAACTGGAACCTCAGTAGGAATATCACTTTTCTTAATAATCGGAATGATATCAGGAGAGGCGCGTTTTATAAGCGGAACTTTAGTGACGATGAAAGGAAGTGTACTTTGACGTTTTTTCATATTCATGTTGATATTGGAGGATTGTGAACTAACAGGTGCACATTGTGTGATCGTAGCGAAGGCATAAAAGAGTGAGATGAGTATAAGTAAAGTAAGCTTGACCATGTTTATATTTAATTGTATCAAAATACAGTATATATATATATATTTTTTTTTTTAATAAAAAAGAGTTGAAGAACACAGTGACCCTTAGGTAGAAAAAGACGTGTATTTATAATGTTATAGAAATCAACTAAGCTCGAGCACACTTAATGGATCAAATACATCGTTCTTGATGAAGGTACGTTAATATAATAAAGTCAATGTTATAATAAAACTTTATTGACTTGCAAAATAAAATTATTTGAATCAAAAAAGATACATTGTCTATTTCCTCTATTAAAGCATTCATGATATCATATACATTTAATGCGCCTGTAAAAAAGGCAGATATAAAAAGCAACAGCGATTGATGGGAAACATGGCATTTATGCAGATTAAGGATGCATCAAAAATTGATCGCATTGTAAAATTTCAAGATAAATCGCAAGATAATCGCGAGAGACAGACTTCAATCGTCACAAGCAATTATCTCAAATCAATACGTAATATCCTGAACTGTTGGGTATTAGTGAAAAAAAAAGTTCTCTTGTACACGCATCAGGTATTTTTATTGAGCCTAAATTAATTAGGATTCTTCCTAGCCAATGCTAATTTTAAATCGGGCCAACCCTAACCATAAATTTGGTGAATCTTAATTGAGAGTAAAATGATTGTCGAAAAAATGATATGGGATATATTTTATATATAGAATATGTTTTTGGATGAATTTATTAACTTTGAAATAATAAAAATTTTTAAAAATGTTTTGATTTTTATATACAAAATTTTATTTTAAGGACGAATTTAATTGTAACTAGGGTCCGGAATGGGCCTGGCTAAACCCGGAAAATTGCCCAATATTATTTGGGCCGGGCCCGGGCCTGATAAAAAAGCCCATACAGGCCCAATAATACCTGGTGATTTCCTAGCTGCAAATAAGGTGCATAACGGGTCAGGCTAAGCCCAGAAATTTATGGTCGGGTTAGACTTGGGCTTTATAAGAAAGCCTAATTAGGCCCAACAATACCTGGTAAACTTATGGGGTCTTTGCCTTGAAAATGACCCTACGGGACATAGTAATTATTATATCCCATAAGGTCATTTTCAAGGCAAAGACCTCTTATAGTCAAAATTATGCCAATTTGTGATTTCAGCATAATATATTCAATAAAAATCGATATATATGTTTGTGCCTTAAACTAACACTTGCTTCAGACAGTTGACACCTCTCAGATGCAGATCACGTGAGGTGTGTAATGTTATCAACTACTCCAAGAGCACCACCAATTTTTTTCGGTAACACAAAATTCTATTGGCCGAAATGTAGTACAAATTTTATAT